GACTCAAAAACAAATAGAAAATCTAAGTAGATTTAACAAGTAAGACATTTGAATTAGTAATTTTAAATTCTTCCAACAAAGACAAGCCCAGGCCCATGTGGCTTCACTGATGAATTCTATCAAACAATTAAAGAAGAAATAATACCAATCCTTTACAAACTCTTTCAGAAAACAGAGGAGCAGGGAACATATCAATTCATTCCATGAGGTCACCCTAATGCCAAAAGCAGATAAAGACCTAAGAAACTACAGAACAGTATTCCCCAGCAAATCAAATCTAACTCCATATAAAAAGGATTATACACTACAACCAGGTGGGATTTACTCTAGGAATGTGAAGTTGATTTAATATCTGAAAATCAATTAATGTAATGTCAATGTAGAATAAAGAACAAAGACCATAAAATCAACAAAATCTAACACCCATCCATAATGAAACCTCTTAATAAACTAGGAATAAAAGGGAACTTCCTTAGCCTGAACACCACACAATGGTGAAAGATGGAATACTTTCCTCCTAAAATTGGCAACAAGGTAAGGAAGGCTGTCTGCTCTTACCACATCTGTAGCCACATGGCCTCCTTTTGTTCCTCAGACACAAGAAGCATGCTCTTATTTCAGGACCTCTGAACTTGCTGAACTCTATGCCTAGAATGTTATTCCCCCAAAGATACATATAGCTCACTACTCTAATTCTTACATATTTCGGCACAAATTTTACTTTCTGAGAGGCCTTCCTTAATAATCCAGTGTCTCCCTATTCCCTTACCCTGCTTTATTTTTCTTCAGATTTATTTGTTTATCTGCTTTCCTCCACTAGAACATAAACTACAGAGAAAAAACTATTCTATTCACTGCTACACCTCAAACACTTGAAACTGTGACTGGTATATGACAGACAATCCAATACTCACTGAATGAATGAATAAATGTGTATCTTCAAAACGAAAAATGTCTATAGGAGAATGAATAAAAAGGAGTAGAGGGGGACTACTAGCTTAAGAGCCTGAGAAGAACCAGGGTTTTAGGTAGTGGGGAAAGAGCCAATGTAGGATATAATAGAAAAAAACTTGGTTTTCTGGAGCCAGATTCTTCTGGGTTCTAAGTTTAGCTCTTCTGATCACTGCTTACACGTCCCTCTCTAACTCTCAAGTAATTTATTAAATAAGAATATCACCACCTACCTCCCAAGTTGCTATGAAAATGAAATATATTTATGTAAAGCATTCAGTATAGTGTTTGATAATATATAATAGACACTATAAATACTTAACATTTTCTGAAAACTTTGGCTTTCAAGAGGAACCCAAAACCACCACAGAATTACCCAGCCCCACCCTCATCTTACTGAGGGACATAGTTGTGGAGGTGCTGCTCCTAAATTAAGTGGCCTCCAGACTGTTGTTTTAACTTACTCTTCTTTCACTCCTCCCCTTTCCGTCAGCTTTCAGCTCTCACCCCTAGATGGGATTAATATAGCAGCTCTTCTCCCTTTTTTGATATGCTGCTTTTAATCTTATGGGGTTTTAGAAACCAAACGCTAAACTTGTTACAACACCACGTAAAAATAAGAATAAATGGCCAGGCGCGGTGGCTCACACTTGTAATCCCAGCACTTTGGGAGGCCGAGACGGGCGAATCACGAGGTCAGGAGATTGAGACCACCCTGGCTAACACGGTGAAACCCCATCTCTACTAAAAATACAAAAATTAGCTGGGCATGGTGGCGGGCGCCTGTAGTCCCAGCTACACAGGAGGCTGAGGCAGGAGAAAGCTGTGAACGCAGGAGGCAGAGCTTGCAGTGAGTGGAGATCGTGCCATTGCACTCCAGCCTGGGCGACAGAGTGAGATTCTGTCTCAAAAAAAATAAAAATAAAAAACAAGAATAAATTAGCACTGTGCAAATACTTAAGGATGACAATGCTTTACTTCCCTCTTGTTTTTCAGCTGGACTCTGGAAAAATGAGGCTGTTAGATAAATAAGCTATTATATGGGTAGCTTATCATATATAAATGTATATATTATACATTGATTAACATGGAATCGTTCATATTTTAAAAGTTAATAGTGGAGCTTCTTCACAGAGCAGTTGTTACAGGAAGCATATAAGATCCAAGCTTGGCACCCAGGCCAGGGAAAGGCCAGAAGCTGTAGAACTTTACATTAACAAGGCAAAAAGAAGTGGCAGCAAGAGCCTGGATATTCAGAGTACGAGGGAAGGTACGGGTCAAAACCCTCTGTGCACTCTCAGGCAGATAGAAGAACAGAATATCCATTGTTAAAACCCAGTATGAAGAGAATGGTCTCCATCGTTGGTAAAGGGGGAGAACAAGATGGCAGAAAAACTGGAATGACCATGGCCTCCATAAAATGTGAGGCTACAGCACAAGAGCCTTTTTCACTAGCAGTAAGCAGGGGCAGGCAGGGAACCTAGGGCCAAAGGAGTAATAGCCTTCTTCAAGAGATGACAGCAGGGAACGAGGCAACACCTCAGTGGAGTGCCGACTCCTGTTGGGATGGGCTCTTGGGAACTGCTGTAGTATCCTATGCCAGGGTTCATGAGTGCACTTAAACCTGCACTCTGCAGCCCACACATTGCAAATCGTGGCTGCCTGTGCTACCTGGCTTTGTCATCTGTGCCACCTGGCTTTGTCATCTGTGCCCTGGAATCCTCTTCCTTAAGGAAAAACTAAGCTATGGGTAGGGCCTACAAAAGAAAGGAGAGGAGGAGAAGGGCATAAGAGAAGATTTACAGTGAAAAATTTCCAAAGGAAAATCCTCCCGTTTACTTTTGGGGAATGGGGTGGCCAACAGGTCAGGGACTGAGATGCCACAGATACTATTATATTTTGGATGCTGGACTCCTCCAAACCTCTTGCTGAAATCTGATCCCCAATGTTTAAGGTGGGACCTAATGGGAGGGGTTTGGATCATTGGGGGCATCCCTCATGAACGGATTAATCCCCTACCTGGAAGGAGGGTAGGGGAAGCGAGTGAATTCTCACTCTTTTTGTTCCTGTAAGAGATGGTTGTTAAGAAGAGCCTAGCATCTCCCTTCTCCCTCTCTTACCATCTGATTTCTAGCCACATCAGTTCCCTTTCCACCAGTAGAAGCAGCCTAAGGCCCTCACTGAGTGCAGACACCCAATCTTGAACTTTTCCAGACATCCAAATTGTGAGACAAATAAATCTTTCTTCTTTATAAATTACTCGGCCTCAGGTACTCCTTTATAACAACATAAAACAAGCTAAGACAGACACTTAAAATGCTTTCCTCTCACTTTCTTGTTTCATTCATGCTGCTTTACAATTCACAAAGCTTTCCAACTTGCATTTCTCATTTGATTCTCTGTAACATACCTGCATGGTTGGTGCACACACATGAGACATGAGGGGACAAGGAGGCACTCCAACTTTACAAATAGGGGAATGAAGACTGTCCAAGGGCACATGTTGAAAGAAGATAAAAACCCAGGTTTCTCAACTTCAAGCCAGTACTCAGGTCCTTATCCTGTACTGGCCCAAGTGTTTATGAGATACCATGTGTTACAGATACATTCTTCTTGTTCTGGTCACTTTAGCCTGGGCCTCTGCCTGCTTGAAGGTTCTTCCTATCTTTCAGTCTAGTAGCTCCCCTCACTAGAAATACCACTGCTCAGAGGGACCCCCAACTCCTACCTGCCCTGTTCAGCCCCTCAACTGAATCTCCTTTCTGAATCCCTAAGTCTGCCTTCTTGAACTTTCTAAGAAAATTCAGAATTAGAGAGGGAAATTAGCGGCCCAACGAAAGCCTGTCAGGTCAGGAAGAACAATGGCATTTATGGTCAGACTGACCTGGGTTCTAACATCAGCTTTATGGATTCCCAGGTATGAACCCTGGGCAAATTATTTCAGTTCCAGAGCCTCAATTTCCTCATCTATAAAATGAGGTTTCAGAGCAGGCTGTGGTGGTACATGCCTATAATCCCAGCTACTCAGGAGGCTGAGGCAGGAGGATCACTTGAGCCTAGGAGTTTGAGACCAGCCTAGGCAACACAGTGACACCTGTCTCCCAAAAACAAAAATAAAACCCCACACAAACAAAAAGGGATTTTGTCTAGATTGACATCAGTAACACAGTAAGTTCTTAATGTGTGGATTTTCCTTCCTTCTCACCATCTGCAGGTTCCCCTGACATCCCATTTATAAAGCCCTAATCACTCCACTCTCACCATTATTCATACGACATTTTGCAGAACTGAAGAAACTACAGGATTTTCTGGAGCTGACCTATGAGCTTGGCAGATCACAGTAAAAACTAAATCTAAGAAAGTCTCTAAGGGGCCAGGCGCGGTGGCTCACACCTGTAATCCCACCACTTTGGGAGGCTGAGGCAGGCGGATCACCTGAGGTCGGGAGTTCGAGACTAGTCTGACCAACGTGGAGAAACCCCCGTCTCTACTAAAAAATATGAAATTAGCCGGGCATGGTGGTGCATGCCTGTAATCCTAGTTATTCAGGAGGCTGAGGCAGGAGACTTGCTTGAACCCAGAGGCAGAGGTTGCAGTGAGCCAAGATCGCACCATTGCACTCCAGCCTGGGCAACAAGAGTGAAACTCTGTCCCCCCTCTACCGGCCCCCCCAAAAAAAAATCTCTGAGGGCTGTGAGGTCATGTTAAAGAGCTTGTGAGAGGACAGGTACAGCCGCCAGGTCCCAGGATAGCTCCCCACCCGCCACATCCCAGCAGAAAGCAGCTAGCAGAAGCAAGAAGGAAGCAGACCTGCTCTGCCTTACTCATGGTAAATGATCCCAGACATTCTTGTGGCAGCTCTAGGAGAGCAGTCTCAACCCTCCTCCCAGTTCAGAAGGTTACCTGTGCAACATCCGATCTCTTAGACATGGAGTAGGAAGATAATCACTTGTGAGTTATCTGTACTGAAGGTAAAAACAATTCCCAAACTAGTTACCCTCCATGTTGGCCTAAGCTTGCCCAGAGCTTTCCCAGGCACCCTCACTCACCAGTAACAATGCTGAGCTTAGCCAGCCGTTTCCTCCTTTGGGTTACAGGGTCAGCACCACCTGCCTCCGGGAATAGGGCTCACCTATAATAGAGAGAAAAGTCCATTAGGGGTGCTGCTCAGAACAGGCAGCAGGCATTCAAAATTTCTAACCTTACACATTTTGCATCCTAGCAAAAGACAGGTCAATTATTTACAGCATATAATTTCAAGTAGTGCTAAGTGCCATAAAGAAAAATAGAGCAGGCCTGGCATGGTGGCTCATGCCTGTAGTCTCAGCACTTTGGGAGGCCGAGGGGGGCGGATCACCTGAAGTCAAAAGTTCAAGACCAGCCTGGCCAACATGGTGAAGCCCTGCCTTTACTAAAAATACAAAAAAAAAAAATTAGACAGGCATGGTGGTGGGCGCCTGTAATCCCAGCTACTTGGGAGGCTCAGGCAGGAGAATCACTTGAACCTGGGAGGGGGAGGTTCCAGTGAGCCAAGATCACGCCACTGCACTCCAGCCTGGGCAACAAGAGCGAGACTCCATCTCAAAAAAAAAAAAAAAAGGAAAGGAAAGCAAGGTAAGGGAATAAAGAATGACAAAAGGTAAGGGTGAAGTCTATTTTAGATAAAATGGTCAGGGAGGGGCCTCTATAAGGGGTGACATCCAGAGAGATTTGAATGAAGTGAGGGGATAAGACATGCAAAGATCTGAGGGAAGAGTGTTCCAGGGAGAGAACAGCAAGTACAAAGGCCCTGTGGCCTTGGTATGTTTAAGGAACAAGAAGACTAATAATATAGCTAGAATGGAGTCACAAGGAAAATGAGGTATACTAGAAACACAAGAAGGAATTTGTTCTGTATTTTACGTATGAGAAAACTAAGGCTCAGAGACTAGGTTACTTGCCCAAGATCAAAATAAGTCAAGTGGTAAAACTGGGAGTCAAACTCAGGTCTTCCAGACAACTCTAACTGTCACTTGTGGCCCAGGCTCCTCCAGGCTTAGATAACCTAGATTCTAGCTGAGACAAACTTTCAAGCACTCTGAGGTTTATTTCAGGTTTCTGTGCTCAGACCCCTCCTCTGTTGGGTGAGGATGGTGAAGAGAAATCCCTATATATTCATTCCCAGGAATGTGGAATGGAATAGAGCAGACTCTAGAATAAGAATAGTAGCACATACTTAGCACATACTAGGCACTGATATAAACCTTTTATTTGTATTAACGCATTTAATCTTCACAATCTTTTAAGGTTGGTGTGTTATTTTACTAATGGGGAAACTGAGGCACAAAGAAATTAAGTACATTTGCTCATTGCATGGTAACAAGATGGTGGAGCTGGGATTTGAACCCAGGAGTCCAACTCCAGGGCTTGCCCTCTTAACCTCACATTACATGTAACAATTCTCAAAAACAGAAGAAGGCAGGAAACATGTTCTCTTGTTCTAGTTTACATGGCTCACAGTCCCCCACCCATTTACACCCAAGCCTGACATCCTCTCCATATACTTGCAGTCCAGGCTTTTTACCGAATACAAGTTGAATGACTCCTGAGTCCTTCAGCCAGGTGGTTCCAGAGGCTTCTCTAATCTCTAGTTACTGTAATCTCAAAGCTATGATAATAACAACGGCCATTTAATAACAACTGTGCATTTACTGCACAGTTGGAAACAGAGTAGGTACTGGCCTAAGCACTATTTTATTTCAGAGGGAGTGAAAGTTGCTCCAAGTCATGAGTAGAGGGATTGAGGGTGCGGGGGGCCTCCAGGTCTGGAACAAAGCAGCAAGCACAAGGAATTGAAGGATCTCTGTAGCTCTGGATCAAAAGACAAAGGCAGAGGCACCAGGGAGTCGGGTGCTAAAGGGACTGGACTATCAACACCTCCAATCAACAAGTCAACAAACTCAATTCATCTTCTATTTCCCAGCCTCTATGATTCAGAGAATGGCATAACCATTCTCCCAGGTATTCAGACTCCAAATATTCATGGTCTCAACCCCTCTTTCTCTCTCTGCCCCATTCCTACAACGGCCAAATCCTTGTGGGGTTTTTTTTCCCCTCTGAGAGCTCTACTTTTTTCCACTCTAAGAGCTCATCCAAATCATTATTTTCTTTCTTTTTTTTTCACCATAGTCTCACTCTGTCGCCCAGGCTGGAGTGTAATGGCACGATCTCAGCTCACTGCAACCTCCGGCCCCCCAGGTTCAAGCAATTCTCCTGCTTCAGCCTCCCGAGTAGCTCAGATTACAGGCGCCGGTCACCACGCCCGGCTAATTTTGTATTTTTAGTAGGGTTTCCATGTTAGTCAGGCTGGTCTCGAACTCCCGACCTCAGGTGATCCACCTGCCTTGGCCTCCCAAAGTATTATTTATTCCCTACTTTGTCAACTTCCTCTTGGTTCAGGATCACATTATCTCTTGCTTGCACTACTGGAATATTTCTCAAAACTTACTGACATTACAAAGGCAGACTGCTACAGGAGTCTCTTCCCCGGTCTCTGTTTCACTAGTCTCCCTTACCCCTCTTACTCCAATCCATGAGACCCACACTGCCAGACTAATGGGCCTAATGCCACTTCCCTGCTCAAAAAAAGTCATGGCTCATCTCAGCCTTGCTCTTAGGTATGCCAGTATCTGGTCATCATCTGCCTTACTTCTACTGTGGGCTTTCCACCTCCCATATTTTTTGCCCATACTGTTATCTCACTGGAATTGCCCTTCTTCATTTATACACATTCAAAGCCTTCTTAATTTTCAAGGCCTAGTGAATCTATGACGTTATCCTGAACCCTTTTCTCGCCACTCTCTCTGCCATGTTCTTGAAACATCTCCAGCTTGTGGGTATATTCACTTCTGGTCTCACCATTAGCTAAGGCCTCAGGAATACAGTACCCCTGGGTTCCCCTTCTTCCTTGTAAAAATTCCTGCTTCTTCCAAAGAATGGAGACCTAGTCAGTTACAAGATTTCTTTTTTATTTTTATTTTTTGAGACGGAGTCTCGCTCTGTCGCCCAGGCTGGAGTGCAGTGGCGCGATCTCGGCTCACTGCAAGCTCCGCCTCCCAGGTTCACACCAATCTCCTGCCTCAGCCTCCCCAGTAGCTGGGACTACAGGCGCCTTCCACCTCGCCCAGTTAGTTTTTTGTATTTTTTAGTAGAGACAGGGTTTCACCGTGTTAGCCAAGATGGTCTCGATCTCCTGACCTCGTGATCTGCCCGTCTCGGCCTCCCAAAGTGCTGGGATTACAGGCTTGAGCCACTGCACCCAGCCTCTTTTTTATTTTTTAAGATAGGGTCTTGCTCTGTTGCCCAGGCTGGAGTGCAGTAGTGCAATCTCAGCTCACGGCAACCTCCACCTCCTGGGTACAAGCGATTCTCCTGTATCAGCCACTCAAGTAGCTGGGATTATAGGCACATGCCACCACGTCTGGCTAATTTTTGTTTTTAGTGGAGACGGAGTTTCACCATGTTGGCCAGGCTAGTCTCAAACTCCTGACCTCAAATTATCTGCTTGCCTCGGCCTCCCAAAGTGCTGGGATCACAGGCGTGAGTCACTACGCCCAGCCAGTTATAAGATTTCTGTTTCTATTCCTCCTACTTAGTCTGGATCTATCTCCCAACAAGAGACCTGAGTTCTAATCTTCATCTCAGATCCCTCATCTGCAAAATGGGAATTCCTATACTGCCAACACAAGGATTTTATGATCACATGTTTTTATCAATGTGATAACAGGTGAGGAAAAGAGCAGAGTTAGGATGGGAGAGTCCCAGCCAGGTCTTTTATAGTTCTACTTGTAAGCTGAAAAACAGAGTACATACACGAACCTTCTATCTAATTAGTCAAAAAATATTTCCTGGTACTAGCTGTACTGGTTGGCTTTGCTATGTACACAGCTCTGAGTGAGGGGTTATGGAGGACGCACAGATGATTGAGAACAGTCTTTATCCTTAGGCACTTGGCATTCAGGATGGGACTATGATATCCCACAAAAAAAAATTACTAAGAATATTAGGCAGGATCTAACAGTTCAAAGAATGTTATATACTGTGAAAGTGAAGAAACAAATCAGTCTGACCTGGGGTTGTCTCAGAAGCTTCACAGAAGAAGCAAAGATTTAAGCCAAGCCTTGATGCAGGGTGACAGAAAGACACGGGCTGCTACTATGCCTCAGGCATGAGGCTGGGTGTTAAACTGTTAATCCTTATGATACCCTGTGAAGTAGGTGATGACATGTCCATTTTACAACCAAGGTAACTGAAGACAGGTGAGGCTAAGTGTGCCATTCAAGGTCAAACAGCTAGTAAGCAACAAGGCTAGAATTTGAACCCAGGTCTGCTTTACTTTACTCCAGACCCTACGTACTCTCACGATCTGCCTTACTTTATTACACAGCAACATGAAAGAAGACCAGATAAGCTAAAGTTCTTTCTATCCTCAAAATTCAAAGATTGAATGGGGGATGTGGAGGGAGTGGGGGTTGTGTGCTCACTGCTGCTCATCTTCTCCATAAGATTGTGACCTTATGGCAGGATTAGGGTCTTATGAACTGTCATATGGGTCTTGGGTGATGTAGGATTAGGGTCTTCTGAACTACCTGCCAGGCTCTGTGTCAGTCTAAGTATCTGACATGTGAGTTAATCAAGGAATAAACAAAACCTGCCCAGTAACTCTTATTCTGAGGACTAGAAGTAAAGTCCAAAATCTCAAGCTCCATATTCAGAGTCTCAGTCCCAGTATTTATATCAACCAAACACCTACTAATCTGTTGGCTTAAGGTGTCCTTTTCCCATTCTTGTTTTCACAAGTTAAGGGAGATGCGAGGAGTGAAGAGGCAGGGAGCAGAGAAAAGAGGATGGGAAAGGGGTGAAGGGAGAATAGGTAAGGAAGGAGAAACCTGAGCAGGTTTAAAATGTCTGAGGTTTGGGAGGCCGAGGTGGGTGGATCATGAGGTCAGGAGATGGAGACCATCCTGGCTAACACGGTGAAACCCCGTCTCTACTAAAAGTACACACACACACACACACACACACACACACACACACACACACACAAATTAGCCGGGCGTGATGGCGGGCGCCTGTAGTCCCAGCCACTCGGGAGGCTGAGGCAGGAGAATGGCGTGAACCCGGGAGGCAGAGCTTGCAGTGAGCCAATGCGCTCCAGCATGGGCGACAGAGCAAGACTTTGTCTCAAAAAAAAATAATAAAATAAAATGAAATTAAATTAAATTTTAAAAAAGTCTGAGGTCTAGACTTTGGAAAAGATCTTTTTCCTTCTGGTACCAGAACCAAGGACTTTTATTCAAAAGAGAAGCAGCAGGAATTTCTCTTTATAAATGTTAAATGAAGGGAGTGTGCTTGTGCAAACTCCAAACTAAATTTGTCAACAGGAGGTAAAGTGAAGCACTTATCGACAAGTTGCTCAGGGCTCCAACCCTTAGTCCTCACTATTGCCCTGCCCCAGCCCAACCTCTGCCTGGTTTAAGCTGAAGCCTGCAGAGGTCAGAAGACAAGCAGGTTCTTTCTCTTGTCACAGCTTCCTCCTCTATCAGCATTACTCCAAGCTAACAAGCCCTGGGAGTATATCTCTCCTTGTGGCTAAGGGGTTACTGACATCCTCTGGACCTTTCCCCAATAGCTCCCTGTCATGAAAGCTCTGTTGAAAAACCTTCCTTATCCTCTAAAAAAAGAAAACCCAGGAATCTACTACTGGAGGCTAGGGAAAGGAGCCAGAAAGTGAATGAAGAGTGAAAATTATGGGAAGCCTGGATCTGGACATCAAACGGTGGGGAATCAAGCAAAAGGTCTGGGACAAGAGAAAAGGAGCATTCCCAGGGGGCCGAAGATGAAAGATTTTGATAGAAGAAATAATCTCCTACATTTGTAAAACAATTTAAAAAAAATAGCATGTCCCTACAGAACTCTTGCTGTTTAGAATAAGCAAGCTCTAGGGCCCACAGGAAGACTGGCTGAAAGAGGTGCTGCGCCAGGTAAGGTGGCTCACGCCTGTAATTCCAGCACTTTGGGAAGCTGAGGTGGGCGGATCACCTGAGGTCAGGAGCTCAACACCAGCCTGGCCAACATGGCGAAACTCTGTCTCTACTAAAAATATAAAAAAATTAGCTGGGTGCGGTGGTGCATGCCTGTAGTCCCAGCTACTCCGGAGGCTGAGGCAGAAGAGCTTGAACCCAGGCGGCAGAGGATGCAGTGAGCTGAATTCGCACTACTGCACTCCAGCCTGGGCAACAGAGTGAGACTGTCTTAAAAAAAAAAAAAAAAAAAGAGGTGTTGCTGAAGGGTTACCTTCCTGAAGAGACAGGAAGAGAAAGGGAAGCTGGGTTCTCTAGGCCTCTGGGGTGGCAACCAAGGCACGAGTGAGCAGCCACAGCCACAGGAGATAATCTCAGTCTAATGGCTCCAGGCTCCCTCAGGCAGGGCTCCCCTGAAGGCAGTCTCCAACCCATTTCTGTCACAGTCAGCACTCGAGGGCTCACAACTGACCACACACAGGGAGTAAAAGACTGGCACAGGGCAAAGGCACAGGGCAAATGGCCCTCATCCCACAAGCTAACTTGCCAATTTATTTGATAGTTGGGTTCCAGCTCCTCTAACCCCTCTCAGCCTCAAAACTGCCTCAACCCTTCTCTAAGACTTGCTTATCCCAGCCTTTACTAAACCCCGTGGTCTTGCAGTTCTTCTAGACTCCTCCCCTCACAAGGATACCTGACCTTGACCCTTGTAACTGGCTCTACTGTATGGTTGCCTACGCTCAGGCATAATAAAACAACTGGCTGTGTTGCTGTGGGGGTAAAGAAAATGACCTCACAACATAATAAAAAATGCAGCCAGGACACAAAATGGCTCAGTAAAACCCTCCCATACTCCCAAACAAAGACAGGTGTCAGGATGCCCAGTGTATCAAAAAGTACGCCCTAGAGGACAGCTGGTTTCTTAATGACAGGTGACATTAGGGGTCTTGAGCCCAACCCATGTTCACGTATGAGAACATAATGCATGCCATAAATAGATGAAACTCAATCTAGGCAGTCTCCAAGCTGCCTGGAGGAACGTCCACAGAATACAACAGATGTGCAAGACAATCATTCTTGACTCTGCATTTTCTGGGTAGCTAACAGCATTTCTCCTTTCTCAGCTGAAGCTATCTCTAGTTCGCCCCTCCTCCTTCCCTAGAAGATCCAACCCGCAGGAATTATCAAGGGAGGCACAAGTAATTACTGTTTTCTTTTCTCCATGCTAATGAGACAGTTGGATGGTTCCCCTTCCCCCTCTCGAGCTGGAAGTGAGAATCTAAAGCTTTATAATCAGTAACCAACACACCAAAGCTCCGACCAAACACTGCTCTGTGCAATTGAGACCGTGTAGAAATGGCTTTCATGCCCCTGATGAGACCAGAGCTGGAAGGGTTCAACTATTTTACATAAAGGGAGGTAAGATCAGAGCAGGGAGGGGAATCTGTCCAAAGTCACACAGAAGGAAGTCAGTGGCAGGGCCAGAACCCAGTCTCCTTATTCCCAACCAAGCTACCTCTCACCTCACTCAGACTTCATACAGTATGGAATAACTTTGGAGGGGACCTCAATGTGGAGGCTGGAACTGCAAATTTCAAGTTTACAAATCAATTTTTGAATAGGTATTCAAAAACCAATGACAGGCTGGGTGTGGTGGCTCACGGCTGTAATCCCAGTGGAGGCCAAGGCGGGCGGATCACCTGAGATTATCAGGAGTTCAAGACCAGCCTGGCCAACATGGTCAAACACCGTCTCTACTAAAAATACAAAAAAAAAAAAAAAAATTAGCCAGGCATGGTGGCACGCACCTGTAGTCCCAGCTACTCAGGAGGCGGAGGCAGGAGTGAGACTTCATCTCAACAACAACAACAACAACAACAAAGCAATGATGTTGCTCTAACTGCAGATGTAGATTCAGTCCAGGAACTCCAGTTCCAGGGTGGAGGGTTACGATCTGAGAGATAATACCAATTTCACCCAAAAATTAAAATCATAAGTGGATAGCCCAGCAAAACGGAATCTGTGAAAAATTCAGTAAGGATTCAGTTTCAGCTCAGTTACGTAAAGACTGTAGGTACATGGATGGGAGTTAAGGGTAAGACTGTTTCATTTACCTGCCTGGAATCAGAATTAGTTTGAGAACTGGATTTGAATTGCTGAATCCCACCTGAAGTGAGAGAGGCGAGGGACTTTAGAAGCTGACAGGGAGGCTGTCTTCGGGTTAAAAAAATAAGCCTTGTTAGAGTCTACAAATCATTTCAGCTTAAAAATTTGAACCATTTTCCTCTCAGCACAGCGTTTGCAAATGCTGGTTCCTTTCCCCAGAGGCCATGTCTTCCTTTTTCTCTGACCATGGCTAGTTAGCTCTGGGCTAGAGCATCCTTCAGTCCTCCTGCTTTACCTTGGGCACTCTTCAGTAAAAGCCCCTGATAATGCTAGGTTCAGTTTTTTCATCTGTGAACTAAGGGGAATGGACTAGTAGACTGAGGTCCCAGTGCTCAATGTTCTATACTTGAGAGCTCATTTATCCACCAGACTCAACATTCATTTTTAAAGAAAACTCTGGACCCCAACCATGTACCTAGATACCAACTCTTCCTCCCTGTTATTATACCATAGACTGACTGTGGGGCTCTTGTGATACTTCAGCATATGATCAGTGCTGACCATAAGGCTTCACTTTCTGGAGTGCACAAAATTAGGTGCTTTATTCTATAAATGGGCTCAGTTCCACATGAGATCCCTTGTCTTAGTTCCCCTCCTAAGACTTTAGCCCCTGCCACCCCCACCCCCCCCGAACTAAAGCCCAGCTCAAAATCCAAGGACAGGCCTCCCCACGAATGGCCATCGTCCAGAGACTGCCTGCCAGCCTAGATGTCCACTTGGGCTTGCTGCTCTCTCCACCCCTCTGTAAGGAAGGCAGCATATAGTAGAAAGAACCAGCAGATAGACCTAGGTTTAAGTCCTGGCTCTGCCACCAGAACTGGGTATCCTTAGTGCTCTGACCACTGTTTCATCTGCCTGTCTCTTCTACCACTCTTCCCTACTTGGGAGCAAGAAATATTTAGTTGTTTTCCCGTATTCGCAATGAGTCAGTCATTGTCTACTGAATGATACTCTCTAAAACTGAAGTTGTCACATTTGTAAAATGGTGATTAAATCACCTACCTCAGAATAGTGAAGATAAATGAGGGGAAAAAGTATGTAAACTGCCTAGACTACTGCCTGGCCCTTCTTCCTCTACTGTATCTTGGATTCCCAGAGCCAAAAGTTTGCCTGTACTGAACTACACCACCCATCCTGGAGACATCATGACTTGCTGACAGGGTCTGTTCCACTCTAGCAATCAGATTGACTGCCAGTTCCTGGAACCCTACCAATAAAAAGATACGACTACTCTCCTCATGGGTGAAGGTAGTGAATTTCAAGCAAATGATCTCTGAGCATATACTAATATTCTAGATTGAAAAGAGAGGGGAACTTTGGGGGAAAAAATGCTATGCTATGAAGCTGGAGCCTTAGAGAAGAAATCCCAAGTCCCAAAAAGTGGCTGAAGATACCTGTACTGGATCCTACAGAAGGGCCAGAGACGTGAAATGAATTGTCTTAGGTCACATAGGAAGCTGAAGGCAGAAATAAGCTTAAAACTCACCACTGTGGTCTCCCTAGATGGTACTTTTTCCATCCTTCAGGGCAGATGCACAGTGCTGAAGGAAAAAGGAAGTAAGGCATAGGGGACTGAGTAGAGTGGCAGGGAGGGGCACATAGGGATGTCAAGCGGCACACAATTTCTGTTTGGTAAAGGCAACTGAGGGATAAAGCCAGCCTTTAGTTTCGTAGGGGCCTTATGTGCTCTGGCAGTTGAGGGGCAGAAACAAGTTCAAACTGGACAGAACAAGTGTCAACAGTTATGGAGGGAAAAGGAATAGGGTGTCTCAAAGTATCATAAGCCCCTCCACCCACAACATCAGCTGCTTTGAGTGATCAAAACCTTCTGCCTACCCATTCCCAACTTCTCAACTCATACTATGTTCCAGATTTTCTATGGTATCTGTCTTTTCCACTAGAGGGCCCTCAAACTTAAAAACTAGGGGTTAGGTATAAGGTATAGAGAAGAGAGTAAGAGCTTTGTCCAGGCTGTGTGTGGTGGCTCCCATCTATAATCCCAGCAGTTTGGGAGGCAGAGACAGGAGATCACTTGAGCCCAGCAGTTCGAGACCAGCATGGGCAGCCAAGTGAGACACTGTATTTAAAAAAAGAAAAAAAAAAAAAAGAAGAAAGAGAAGGCTGAGTGTGGTGGCTCATGCCTGTAATCCCACCACTTTGGGACGCCAAGGTGGAAGGATCACTTTGGGAGGTCAGGGGTTGAGGACCAGCCTGGGAAACAGAGCAAGACCCGTCTCTATTAAAAAAAAAAAAAAAAAGGCCGGGCGCGGTGGCTCAAGCCTGTAATCCCAGCACTTTGGGAGGCCGAGACGGGCGGATCACGAGGTCAGGAGATCGAGACCATCCTGTGTAACACGGTGAAACCCCGTCTCTACTAAAAATACAAAAAACTAGCCGGGCGTAGTGGCGGGGGCCTGTAGTCCCAGCTACTCGGGAGGCTGAGGCAGGAGAATGGCGAGAACCCGGGAGGCGGAGCTTGCAGTGAGCCGAGATCGTGCCACCGCACTCCAGTCTGGGTGACTGAGCAAGACTCCGTCTCAAAAAAAAAAAAAAAAAATTAGTAAGAAAGTTTAAAAGAACAAATTTTTAAAAAAGAGTTCCGTCTCCTGAGGAAGATCTGATTGATGAGTCTTTTCTTTATTCTACTCATATTCACTCGAACTTCTGAGTTAAGTGACTGGCCCAAGGTCACACAGCTAATAAAGACAAATCAGGACTTGCCTGTGTATCAAGTATCCTTTTATGGCCATGGCTGCTATGGTTTGAATGTGTCCCCTAAAGCTCATGTGTTGGAAACTTAATCCCTAAAGCAACAATGTTGAGAGGGGGGACTCTGAGAGGCAAAATTAGGGCATGAGGGCTCTGCCTTCATGAATGGATTAATGTCATTATTGCAGGAAAGTGTTTGCTATCTTGAGAGTGGGTTTATTATAAAAGTGAGTTCGGCCCTCCCACTCTCTCTCACCATGTGATGCCTTCTGCCACATTTTTATGCAGCAACAAGGCCCTCACCAGATGCGGCCCCTGGTGAGGGGCCCTGGACTTCCCCGCCTCCAGAAGCATGAGTCAAACAAACTTATATTGTTCGTAAATCACTCAGTCTATCGTATTCTGTTACAGCAACACAAAATGGACTAAGACGGTGACTTTCAGCCTGGCACAGTGGCTCATGCCTATAATCCCAGCACTTTGGGAGGTCCAGGCAGGCAGATCACTTGAGGTCAGGAGTTCAAGACCAGCCTGGCCAACATGGCAAACCACCACCTCTACTAAAAATACAAAAATTAGCTGGGCATGGTGGTGCACGCCTGTAATCCCAGCTACTTGGGAAGCTGAGGCACAAGAATCACTTGAACCCAGGAGGTGGAGGTTGCAGTGAGCCAAGACTGCGCCACTGCACTCCAGTCTCGGTGACAGAGTGAGACTCTGTCTCACAAAAAATAAACTAATTAAAAAGAAAAAGAAAAAGACAGTGACTTTCAGTAAATTTGATTTTTATAAAGTTTTCAGAGGTAGGTAAGACAGGTGTTCTCTGCTAAATCATGTCCCTTCTTCAAATACCTGCAATCCATTTCAGGCCTAGTTCTGACATTTATCTTCTCTTACAGAACCTGCATAACTACCTTCTTACTTACAGGTCAGCAAACTTTTTCTGTATAGGATCAGATAGTAATTAGGCTTTGTGGGCTACCATAGTCTGTGTGGTATTCAACTTTGCCATTGTAGTGCAAAAGCAATCATGGATGAACAAACAAGTGTGACTGTGTTCCAGTAAAACTTTACAAACGAGGCAGTGGGCTAGATTTGGCCCACTAGTTTGCTGACACCTGTTCTAACTAATCTGTCTCCAATCACCTCTGTCGCCTAATTCATTATTCCTATCACAGTCCTGCAACTTCAGTGGATCCCCTTTGCCTACAGGATGGTTTAAACTCTACCCTTATTCATCCTCTACATCCTTTTCCTGCACACTGCACTCCAATTACACTGAGTTGTAATCTGGCCGCTTCTACCATTCCTCATGCTGTTCCCTAACATCCGCGATGACTTTCTCCATCCCTTTGCCAATATTACCTACTTAGAGACAAGTCCAAATGCCAACACCTGGGAGAAGTCTTTGCCAATGATTCCCCCCCGCTCACCCCCATGGGAGTTAATCCTCACTTTCCCTGACCAGCCTCCTTCCCAGGTAATCTGTCCAGCACATCCTCCACTTATATGTGTTACAGTGAACCTTTACATGCCTATCTAATTTACTGGAAGTACTTGAAAAACAGGAACTATGTCTCATATGTCTATACACTATTTTCAGAACCTGGTACACAGTGGGCACTCAAACTTCCTATCTACCGAATAAAGCTTGCTCTGTCTTACATAATTTGTTATGTATATGGTTGTCCCTCACCCACCACTACCTCCCCACTCCTCCAGAATTCTAAGTTTCTCAAGGGCAGGGACTGTATCTTACTCAACTCTGTGTCCCTTGCAGTACCTAACAGAGCACCCAGTGTCTGCCTACTGAACAGGCTTCTAGGCCAAATAGATTACTAGAACATCGGGATCTTTGGTTCTAGCAGAACCATGAGACGACCCACAGCATCAAAGAACCCTTCAGTCTGCTTTATGGGCTTGCCCCTACCTCCCATCCCATCATGTTTTTGGATCCGGCCAGGTAACCACTTAAAGCAGAGGCCAAGACCAGGCATCTCACTAGGCTGCTCTCACTTGTGCTGCATTAAAGGAACTGGAACTATGTGAAGAGTAGAAGGATTTTTTTTTTTTTTTCCGAGACGGAGTCTCACTGTGTAGCTCAGGCTGGAGTGCAAGTGGCACAATCTCGACTCACTGCAACCTCCACCTCTCAGGTTCAAGCGATTCTCCTGCCTTAGTCTCCGAAGTAGCTGGGATTACAGGTGCCCGCCACCATGCCTGGCTAATTTTAAAAATATTTTTAGCGTAGACAGGGTTTCACCAGCTTGGCCAGGCTGCTCTTGAACTCCTGACCTCAAGTGATCTGCCTGCCTCAGCCTCCCAAAGTGGTGGGATTACAGGCGTGAGCCACTGCGCCCGGCCAAGGGATCCTATTTTCAGACCTCCTTGTCCCCAGCCTCAAATTGTATCCTAAGTACCAGCCCTAAACTGACCCCCAATACGTATTTAGCCCTAGACCAGAAGACAGCCTTCTAACAAGAACAGATCCTTGGTTCCCCAAGGCAGGTGATTTCACTGAAGGAAAGGCTGCAATTGAATCTCAACTGAAGAAAAAACTCAAAGGTATGTAGTAAAAATCATCAGGAGCTCTACCTCTGGATGCAAAGGAACCTCTGTTGAGATTAGGGGTCCTGGGCAAGCCTGTAGTCCAAAAGTGCAGCTATCCTATCGTGTGGAATTTGTGGGGTCAAAGACTAAATTGCTGATGGAAACAACAAAACAAACACCGAAAGAAATTTTCTTCTAAACCCAGAACAGAACAACATTCCATCTGGGTAAGTGAGCTTGTCCCAGGCATATCTGCCATTCCAGGATTACGGCTGTCAAGTTTTAATTAGGGTAATTAGAGTTAAAAATGTAATTTCATTTCAGGGGTATTTTGAACAGATTCCATTAATTTCTTTCTTTAAAAGAACACAGAAAGGAGGGGCAGACTGTGTGAAGCAGAGGACTTTGCCATGAGAGAAGCAAAGCTATTTGCCTGGACCAGATGAACTTTCAAACCACTGCCAAGAACTACAACACCTCTGCAGGTCTGGCCCAGAGGACAGAGGGCTGCTGCTCTTCAGGCTTCCTCCCTTCTTCCCCACAGAAGTCTAGAAATGTTTCAGTCGGCACTTGCTAATAAATCGATCTCCTCCTCCCTACCTGCTGCTCCTGCATTACTGCCATCCAATAGCTACTACTACAGCCTTAAATCTGGCAAAGGATAAGGGCTCAGGGCAGTCAATCTGCTTTGCTACATGTTAGGTACTGCTTTAATGCCCACCATTTTATCAAGAATTCCCAGACACATCTTTATGCTTTTGTTTGTGCTGGTTCCCTGGTCTGGTGTGCCCTTCCTGGCTTAACTCTTACTCTTCATTCTTCCTTCAAAACACAGATCAAAATTATATCCCCTAGGAGAACCCCCATTCATGCCTTTGGAATCTCAGAATCCCTTATACACTCTTCTAAGGAACATACATTATACTGTGGTTTGTATCTTTGTCTGACTCTGATGCTAGATTGTGAGGTCATGTAAGAATCCCCAGCAC